CATAAACTTTTATTCAGTGAATCATTATCTTGAGGGTGTGAGTGTGGGTAATACTTTAGCGATATTCGCACTCCCATACACACCTATACTCTCAAGACATCCTTTACTTAGAGAATATTTGAAATTTTAAGAAATTAATATATCAGAAATATTCGATTTGATGTGTTTTAGCGTTTTCCGGGAAATTCATTTTTACCACATCTGCATTTGAGAGATTGCATATCATAAGGATAATGAGCATATTTGGCTTAATGGGCATATTAGGTATATTAGGCATAATGGGCATATTAGGCATAATGGTCATGATGGTCATAATGTTCATAACGGGCACAATGGTCATAATGAACATAATGGGTATAATGGACATAATGGACATAATGGGTATGAAGGGCATATTAGGTATAATGAGCATATTAGGTATAATGGGCATAATGAGCATAATGGGCATATTAGGCATAATGAGCATGATGGATATAATAGGTATAGTGGGCATATTAGGCATAATGGGGGTAATGGACATAATGGGCATGATGGATTTAATGGGTATAATAGGTATATTAGGCATAATGGACATATAGGGCATAATGGACACAAGTAACACTCGTCCAAAAACTCGCTTAGCTCTTTCTCGTAGAAATACATCCTGTTAGGTGGTATCATCATCTTTTTCTCACGTCATATATGTATAGTTTCTTTCGTTTTGTTGTTACATATACATATATCATATATAGTGTGATTTATCTTCTTCTATGTGTTCTCACTCTCTTTTATATCGTTCATAGATTTTTCCTCTGCTGTCATATACATATGTACTACCATATATTATGGGAGTTTTCCTCATCTTGTTCTTGTGATCTCCTGTTGGACATATCCTTCACAAGGTGTTCCACCATCCTATATATAACGTGTGTTTTTCTACGAATAAACAGAGAGAATTATCCTCTTCACATTTACTAGCAAAATAATTGGAAATCTGGCTCTTCCTTGCTACTTCTTACTCTAAGCACCTACCCGCGTCCTACTCAGTGATGAACACAAATTAAAACAGATTAGAGCTGTTGAAACCAGTGGCTTATCGAACTAGCCTTTAACGAATAAGTGAAGTGCTAGTAATCTTATATACAAGAAAGCCAACAGTTTATGATTGTCACACCCTGCACAACAAGCGGGGGGAACATTTTGGATACCCATAAAAATGCAGTATCCAAAAACTCGATTGCTGTTAATTTGCGTCACTTCTTCCAATTCACCGTTCCCCCTCCCCTTCAGTGGTCTGAACAAATGAGGCGCACATATGAAGTCCCTATATCGAAATACCTCTAGAAATGTTTTTCTCGAAAAACCGGTTTTCGATGTTTTTTGACTCTGCGGTCACACAAACAATCAAACAAACAATTTATGTTTACTGGACTCTTATCTACGAAAAAGAGAATAATGGATATATAGGGCATAATGAGCATATTAGGGTGAGTGTGGGTAATACTGTAGCGACATTCACATATTCATCGACACCTACACTCTCAAGATAACTTTTACTTAGGAAATATTTGAAATTTCGAGAACTTAATATATTATTAATATGTAAAGTTGATTGTAATATAAAATCTATAAATCTCTGATTAAAACAAGAATTCATACCTATAATTCTCAAATGTATTTCATGTCAAATCGATAAGATTGATTTTGACTATTAGCTCAAAAGTAGTTCGACCACTAAAACATTCACAAATACAAATAAAATATGAAAGCAATATCACGTAATCAATATAATACTCATTAGATTATAGTTGATTTCTATTATAACTTCACTTTTGAAAATATTTATACTGAGATGACATTTACGCGTTTCTTCCGCAGACTCGGTAGGACTTTGAAATCAAAACAAACGAATGGCACAGAATTCGACGAAAGACACAAATAATAAAACAAATTAGAGAAATAGCAACAAAATGCCAAAACAAGTATGACCGAAGAAAAGACAATCGAACATATAAAACGTCGAAAACTCCGAGATGTGGTTCTGAAACAATAATATTGTTTTCTCTTTTCCAATTTAAGGATGTTAGTGTGAGTGTGGTTGTTGTGTTCTTTTCTTATCCATACTCACACCCTCAAGATATAGTGTTAGCTTTACCTCAAAGAAAAAGTTTGTAACTTATATACCTTAAAACGTTGTCAATAAATTTTCAGTGTATGATGTTAGATCTTTTTCTCGATAAATTTCAATGAAATAAAATGAGAAAAACAATATTAGTTACTGTAGGTCATACTTAGTGACAAATATTGTTGAAAAAATCACGATTATTTTTAGTTATAAACAAAACAGTCTCAGTTTTTGCTAAAAAATTGTTATTCATAAAATAATTGGATTGAAACTGATTTTAATTTGTTAGTCAGCTACAAAATAATCCTTTTTTTTAAATTATAGTTGATAAACTAATTTCTAACGCAATTTAAATAGGAAATCAATTATAACCTCAAATCTCATAGAATTTTATTAAAGATTTTTAATCGATGATAATTAATTATTTTCGATTAGATCTCATTGATATTGGAAATCAGTTGTAGTCTTTCAAATCTATGATAATCTTGAACATCATGTAACTTGATTAAAGAATTTTGATCGATTACAATCGATTTAATTTGTATAAACCAGATTTATATTGATAATCCATTATAACTTCAGGAATCGATTGAAACTGATTACTACAATGTGATTCCAATCATATTGTTTTATTTTTTAATCGATTTTAATCCTAATGATGATAAAATGGATTTTTGCTCGTATTTTGCTTGTCAAATTCAATGTTCTGATCATTTTTTCACATTCATTCACTCAACAAATAGTGAGTACGACAGTAGATCAAGTGTTCACAAATATACCACACTTCGAGATATATGATATCAATTAATACTTAATCATATAAATGAAAATACCGTTAAACTAGATTAAAATCACTTTTTTATTGGTATTGTCTGAAATGGGACTTTCTAGAGATCATAATCAACGATAATCGATGAAGGTTGATTACTATCGATTAACCTTGAGTTTGTTTCACAATAATCGTATTTATAATTTTGTTTATGACTGAGATTTTTAAATTTGAATCGATTATAAGCGTCAGAATTTTTCACTTGGTATAATGAAAACAAAATGAATTGAATGAAAAGAGTAGCAAGAAAATAGTTTAACTTCTTGCAGAACTTCCATCATCGACAGGTAAAATGAAAAGAGATTCGATTATAGATAAAAATAACATTTTCAACTATTCTAATAAAACTCATTGATCGACGAATGATAAATAATATTATCTAGTTCTCTTTTTCATTTTCAATATCAAACTATGAAATCTATATTATAATTTATCAGTTTTCTTTAATAACATTTTTCTTATATGCACACGTTCAAAATCTAATGACATAACTACTGATGTTTTTGGTCATAGTTTTACCAATGTTGATGTTGAAATATTTTCAAGAGGTTCAATTCTCTGTCTAAGAAACGAAGATATTCAGTTAATTAATGAATGAGTTTTGATAAATTTAAGAAAATGTGGAACAAATAAGTTTTTATGTAATCGACTCTGTAGGAAATGATGATTGACAAGTTAATATTCCAATGAAATTTCTTAACATATTGAATCCATCGGAATTGTCATCATATAAGTTAAATTTAAAAATCGATTGTATAGTAATACTTCTGCGGCATGTGCCGATCAACAAAGGATTGTGCAATAAAACTAGAATGATTGTTAGAGTCTTTCGTCAAAATGTGCTTCAATTTAAAAGTATTTCTGTCGCATTTTCCAGAACTGTTCATTTTATTCCTAGAATTTCTCTAGATACATCGAATGATCCAATACTTCCATTTAGCTTCATTGAACACACATTTGTAGTTCATCTTGCATATTTAATAATAATAAATAAATCTCAATACCAAACTTTTAATAAAGTTACTTTCTATTTTTCAGAACTCTACTTTTCTTGTGGTAATTTTTCTACAAAATATTCAAAAGCAATGGAATCTAATTGTTTAACCCTAAAGCGCCCACCTGTAATTTGCTCAAACTTTGAGCTTTTTAAAAAATAATCATTTAAGAACGGTGTTTCGCTTTCATTGGTTCATTTCATGTATGACAGATGAGCCGTGTGTTGCCTAATAACGTCACTTAATTTCAGTCGTTCACTGGTGATCTGATGGCAGAAACATAGAAGTTTCGAAACATCTCTTTTTCAACTGAGGTCCGTGCGGACCCCAGGTGGGCGCTTCAGGGTTAAAAATCCAGTAAAAGATACTACTATGTTTAATTGTATGTTTTTTTTATATTTAATAAATCAGATACTAACACAAACTTCTTATAAAATCAATCTTTTCTATACAATTGAAGTCCAACTCTTCACAAGGTTTTCTAGTAATATTAGAATTTAATGAAAATAAAAGATAAATGTGAAAGAATGGCTAAAATCAATGTATTCATAGCTATAAATGGTTTATATTTTATTCGAATTCAATGAATAAATAGAAAAAAAAAA